GTCCCTACCAACATTTTGGACCGACCTACTTGTCCCTACCAACATTTTGGACCGACCTACTTGTCCCTACCAACATTTACATGTGAAGAACAAGTTTATCATTTACAATACAGCATTGTTGCAGCAGTAGAGGAGTTCTGGATGGAGAATATTGACAGACGAAAACATGTTTTATCTAAAATACAAAATGTTTTTTTTTTTTTTTTTTTTTTTTTTACAATTTTGGCATAATTCCTGCTCTAAGTGCGTCGCTCTGTGAGCTCCAGTTAACGATTAATTAATTACTAAATTTAAAATAAATGTAATGGGCTACAAAACTACAGCCCAGATGTTGTAAAGTGAAGTTAATATTTTAAATTACTCAGTGTCAGTTCCTCTTCTAGTTCCAGTGCTCATGTAAATACATTTATTTGCCGTCCCTTTAATGTATTATTTTGCTTTGTTTCATGATACAAAGAGAACATTTGAAAGATAAGAATGGGGTTTAACTCTGTTTACCTCTGCACAATTCCATATCTTCAAAATAAAATAAAAAGTATAAATCCACATATAACAGACCTATTTAGACTTTATTTGCTTACATAGGCATGTATTTACCTACTGTTTTAGTCGCTGGTAAGTTTAAATGCAAACCTTTTTAGTGGAAAAAAGTCCAAATTCCTCATTCATCAGAGCCGGTTAAGCTTCAGTCATTGATAAACAGCATCTGGTGAGTGTAGCGCTTATAACATTTCCATAAATGTAGCAAGAAATTCTGTTTTTCTCTTTAAATGAAATACACCCTGATTTTCGCATCAAGCATAAAAAACGAGCATGCATTTTATTGCAAAGGATCAAGGACATCAGACCAATAGTGTCCCTACCAAAGTTGAAATCAAACCTACGCCTTTGTGTTTATTTAATCTGATTTGTTTTAATGAATCGGTGAATCTGTGATCAGCCTCATGGTCTGTTAAAGGATGCTGCAGAGGTGCATTTAGCTGGATTACATGCTTGGCCTGTGAGGAGCAGATAAAGGCAGAATGAACTGATCAGGCTAAGTTCAGTTCTGGGGAAACGGGCCTCTGGCCTCCATGTTGGTTGCTGGTAGATAAGCTGATGAACCTCCCAGGTCAGGCTGTGTTCTGATTGGTCAGCTTCCAGCCTCTCCATCCCACCTCCTTTAGACAAACCCTCAGCTACTCAGAGGACACTGGGGGTGTCTGAACGTACGGGGGCTCCAGGCCTGCAGGAAGCTGGTCCTCCTGGTCCCAGGTCAGCAGGTCCACGGCGTACCTCAGGATGATGGAGAAGATTCTGGAACTCCTGGCTACCAGGTCAGGAGGAAGCAGGGAGACGGGATCCTGTAAGACAACCAGCAGGGAGAAGGAGGCAGATGATGAATGGGAGGCCCAGAAACAGGTCAGACACCAAAACCACATCCGAGGGGCAGGTTCTGTTACCCTGACATTTCAACTAAAATGGGTCTCCTCATTTCTCAGGGCCCCCTTCCCTCCAGCCCAGGGTCCACCTCACACACCCCAGGTGTTACCCTGACCCAGTCAGTCCCCTCATGGCGCCTCCTTAGATGGTCTCACCTCCTCCGCCTGTCTGCTGCGCTCTGCAGGAGTGTGGTTCTGACAGTATGGACCCGTCTTCCAAGCCTCCGTGTCTCCACAGTCACAGAACCCTCCACCTCCTGACGTGGTCATCTGGTAAACAGAGAGCTCCCTTCAGTCGGCCGTTGGTTAAAAGGTAAAACTGTTTGGACCAAAGTGTGGACATTCTACTGGTCCTCACATCCTGTTCTGCTAACCGTTCAGTTTACGACGAGGATAAGAATTAAAGTGAATCCTAACCGTTAATCTAACTAGGGATGCACGATATAATCGGCCCCCTATCGGTATCGGCCTTAAAACTGAATATCGGACATCGGCCACCCCACCGATATTTAACC